AACCCAGATCTGCCTTCAGCAACAACGTCCGCGTGGCCTACGACCTCCTCAACCTCACTGGGCCCCAAAGACATCCAGGTGAGGCTCCAGAAGGCCCTGATGGCTCCTTCACCGAGAGCCCCACAGGAGGAGGAGGAGGAGGTGGTGTGGGAGGAGGAGGTGTGAGAGGAGGCCTCTACACACAGACTCTGGAGTGTCTCTGCAGTGAAGGTGGCGTCCCTGCCTCCACCTCTGCTCCGCTCCTCCGACGACTCCACTGCCAAGACCACGAGGCCGTCCCTTATGACATCTTCCGACACGGCGTGCTCACGTGTGCCGTCTTCTCGGACTACATCCGGCAGGCCCAGAGGCTTTACGCTGAGGTGTGCTGCCCAGACAACGGGCCTGCTTCGCGGGCGCTGTGCCTGGCCGTGCTGGGGACCCTGAAGGAGGCTCTGGAGACGTCCAAGGGCTGTGATGCAAACTGCTGCGTTAACGCCAACAACTCTTGTCTGGAGGCCAACGTGAAGGCCATCCGCTACCTGAAGGCCAGTGCCAATATCTCTCCCTGCAAGCTCGCTCAGGCTATGTCTGGAGCGCAGTTGCGGGGTCCAGGTGGCGACATGGACGCTAAGGAGTTTGAAAATGCAGCGGCTGAGCTGTTTATCACTCGAGTCAAAGTTGTGTCCTAGGTCTCTTCTCTGTTTTCACATAAGTTATGAATGTACAGCCATGTCGTAGAGTAAATCATTATCCTGTGTGCACCTACTACTGTCAGGACCTGGCTCTACAGCCATGAAAAAATATAGGAGAATGCAGGATGATGGGAAAATAGTAAAAATGTATAGAATAAAACAATCAACACTAGAATGAACTAAAGATATTGTGGGATCAGAAAGGTCAGTGGTGTAAAGGTCAGTGGTGTATGCAGTGTGGTGTGTGGGATGAGAAAGATGTTGGATGCATGATCACAAAATAACGTGCTGGGGAGAGTCCTGGCCAGAAAAAGCAATTTCTTCCAACCAAAGTCATCAACCAGATTCCACCCTGTGGATACCTGCCTCTCAAAGGGAACAAGGCATACTGAGCTGCTTAGCAGAATGAAAAGATGGGCCTAAGGCTAATGAGCTAATGTCTCCATGAGATGCACAGATATAACCTTGTCTGAATATCGCTGTTTGTCTTGAGCTTATTAATGTCAGCAACATCTGCTGTGGCTACACAGGCAGCTGCTGTCCCGTGTGGAGGACATGACGTACCTTGATTAGACTAAATAGATTCAATGAAATCAGTATTTGTCCCGAACGGCTTCAACCTTTGTTCAGTGTTTTCCCTGAAATGCTCAGTTTAGAGAGTATCTACATCTACTGCAGTCCAGTACAACAGCCTTGTAATAGATTCTCTGTAAAAATACAACAACATTTCAAGGTTTTGTTGAGACTGTCAGTGATGATGAGTGAACCGGTCTGTGCTATCTTAGCATTTGTAACATGTTGTAGAAACAGGAGCCAGTCTCATGTGCTCTCCTTGACGGTCTCTGTCCCTGTGACCCCCAATTAAGTACAAGTGGTGTCGACAGAGGAGGGACATAAACATGGAACAGAATTTTGAGGTGTGCTCTTTCTGATTCAAATCACAGTGCAGAGAGAAAAGGGCAAACCAGAAAACAAAACCTTTTGCATCCATTACTCTGTACACTGTATACACAGGCTCTGGTCACCAGCGCTGCTAAATAAACACAAACATTCACATGCGCTCTGAGTGTTTAAACAACAGTAATCACGAAGGCCATACAGTTCCTATAGTTTGTGTTTGTATCAAGACAAAGTGGCTTTGAATTTTCAAAATGTGGATGTATTAGTATTTTCTGTGAGTACTGATCATGTGAACTAAGAGGAATGATTCAAATGCAGAGATGGAATGTAACAAAATGCAGTTACTAGTAGTTATGTTCCTGTTTAATTTTCTTTTTTTAGATTTTTTTTACTGAGATACGTCAGCCACAAAAGGTAAATGCTGTTCACACATTAATCCATCAGTAATAATAATCCTATACACACCCAATCTCTGGATGTGTCCCCTGTTGCACATTAAGTCCTGTACCACTATGAATGATTGTAAATCTAATTTAAAGTCTTACCTTTTTAATGTTGCCTCATTCTGTCTTATTATTTTTATCTTCTTTAACTGTACGTTGCTTTGCACATACTTGTGTTGCTTTTTCTTTGCCATGATTGCACAGCACTTTGGCACAACTCCTATTGCTTTTAATATATAATGTATGAAATATAAATAAATAGGACTTCATTATATCGGAAAAATACATCACATTTAGCCATTGAATTCAGGATATTTGTATGTAATGACATTTTACAGTGCTGTAAAATTAACTCTTTCTCCTTCCACGCTCAAATGTGACTTCACATTTTTTTTCCCCCACACATTTAACCTACACATTGAACATCTCCTCTTCTTCCCAGAAGCTGTCGGACCCACTCTACCACTCACTAGAGACTCTTTTCATGCGCAATAATACTCATTTGCACATTTAATATGAATTGTTTTTATCCCTGTTTAGTTTGAGATTATTGTTTTTATTTCATTGTATTTATTTTCTGCTTCTGCTCTAGTCCATTGCTTCAGTACTTAGTTCCATGAACCTTATATTTTGCAATGAAAAAATAAATCGTTTTGAATCCTGAATCTTGAAACCCCTGCTCATCACCAGCCACTAGATGGCAGCACCGCTCTGGTGGTCAGAGTTAGAGAAACCGGAAAGAAAAGTAGAAGTACACAGGCTGGGGGTGGGGGGCGTCATGGTGAAGCGACGGGAGACGCTGCGACACATGAGCGTCTGTGATTGTCTGTCTGTGAATGTGGTGTGTTTGTGAAACATGGCGGAAGAGGAGCAGCTGCTCTCCCTCATGTTCCTCTTGACCTACGTGCTGCAGAAGCGACGCAGAGACATTCACGACGCAGACGTCCAGAGGCGCAGTGAGATCCAGAGACGCATCCGACACAGACAGTACTTCTTCCAGAGACAGAGGAGGATGCTGCTGGTCAGTCCCTCCATCTTCCATCCCCTCTTCCAGCCAGAGAAATCAGACTCAACTGGGAAACCGCCCCCATCACTCAGTGGCTGCACAATGTCTCCACCTTTATATGTACATTTTATTATCTTGGTTTTAATACCAAGGGATTTGGTATTTACCATTTTTACCACCAACCTACAGCCAATAACAATAATAACATGAAAACGTGTTTTTATAAATCTTTTTAAATCATCAATAATCACAAACTGATGTTCTTATTTTAAGACTGAGTGAAGGTTTTAAACTCTTGACACTTGACACTCTGAGGGAAATGACTAAAAGCTGTGATGTAGTATTCCTCCTCACTGTGTTTGCAAAATGTCCAAGCAATTTATAAAAAAACTTGTATTGCTGTTGGTGAAAACTATAATGTGACAAACTATTTCCCAGCCATAACAGATGTAAGAACATAAGCAGACCAGAATCTAGCAACTCATTTCAACATAGGTTTATTATTTTCTCAGAAAGTGCATCAATTTCATACATTTTCACTTGATTAACTAATTGATGATTAATCAACCAACAGTGATAAAGTACAGTGTCTCCATTTACAAATATAAAATATGCTGATATATTATTTAAAATCATCATGTAGCTTTAAAGAAGCCAAACTAAACATTTCCCCTTTAAGGAAAAAAGCAAAGTGTATTTATATCTGTGATAGTATTCATTGAATTATTTCTATTTCTCTGACCAGATGATGATAGCAGGAGGTATCCGCTCCAACGTCCGCATCCGCACGCGTCCCTGGACCACCACTGCAAGCACTGATTGGTGGGAGCGGGTGGTGATGACAGAATTCCAGCCTTCTGATTGGCTGGATAAGTTCCGCATGAGCCAGGAGACGTTCTTCCACCTCTGTGACAAACTGCGGCCCCGTCTGGCTCGACAGGACACCAGCTTCCGGCTGGCGCTGCCGGTGGAGAAGCGTGTTGCTGTGGCGTTGTGGCGCCTGGCATCGAACATTGAGTACCGCACCATCAGCACTCTGTTCGGTGTGGGGAAGTCCACCGTGTGCCGATGTGTTAGAGACATGTGTCACGCCATCGTGGCGCTCCTCAGCTCCATCTACCTGCGGCCCCCCAATGAGCAGGAGCTGGAGGACTCAGCCCAACTCTTCCTGAACAACTTGGGCTTCCCTCACTGTGTTGCTGCCATAGCAACCCTCCACACAGCTATCATCACTCCATCAAACAATGCGTCTGACTATGCTAACCCTGCCGGCTGGTTCTCAGTACTGTCTCAGGTAGAAAAGCCACCTGCATCCATGCTGCTGCAAGACGTCCTCCATTAGATTTTTATTTCTCACCTCTCTCTGTGTCTTTGTCGTTTCAGGTGGCCGTCAGCGGCCGGGGGCAGTTCTGGGATGTATGTGCCAGTTTCCCAGGGGGGACGGACCCAGCTGAAATCTTACAGAATTCATCGCTGTGGACCACAGCCGCTGAAGGCGGACTGTCGCCTGCCCCACTACCCGTCTTCATGGGAAGACCACTCAGGTAAAATAGATAGAAATAAAGACACTGACACAACTGTTGCGTCAGGATCCATTTCAGTACCAAGTGAATCTCATTTACAGATATTTATAATCACAATATACAAGTTGTAGTAGGAAATTGTTCATCTTTTCCATTTTCTTTGATTAATAAGATTTTCATCTGGTCACCTTGAAATGGTTTCTGATCATAAGGGCTTATATACCCAGATACATATCAGACAAGACTGCTGATACTGTATGTCTATTTTATTTACTGTTTTAATGTTAAACGTTGGATGACCTGACCCGAGCTGCAATGTTTTCTGTTTTCTAAAATGTATAATAATATCTGGATATTCATACCAAAAGTCTTCTAGCTTGTTTTTAGAGGCCGTACCTGACTAAAAACCATCTGTAATGTCCAGGTACACGCTGCTGGGCGAGGCCTGTTACCCCCTCCAGAGCTGGCTGATGAAGCCTTATCCCGAGGAGAGAGGCAGGGGGGCAATTCACGCACCACTGACGGAGCCACAAGGTCTCTTTAACCGTCGCCTGTCCAGAGCACACCGTGTGTCTGATGAGGCGCTGCAAAGACTGAGGGCGCGCTGGCAGTGTCTGAGCAAGAGGAACGACTGTGGACTGGACGTGGTGCCCACTATGATCCTGGCGTGCTGCATTCTGCACAACATATGCGAGTCCCACGGTGATGCCTTCAAGGCGGAGTGGCTGGCTGAGGTGGCCGAGTCAGAGAGCCCACAGCCCAGCCACAAGCAGCTCACGTCAACCAGTGTGGACCAAAGTCACGGTGAGGAGGTCCGGCACCTTTTCAGTGACTATTTTCAACATTTGAATATCTGATCAAGGACTAATACTATTTAAAAGCAAACTCTTGTAAACCATTGGACTGGTTTGTGCTTGTGCTGTAGAGATGGCAGTGTCACTCAGTTCTGCCAGTCCAGTGTTATCATGTAGCTTTATGCTAACTGTAGCCAGTCAATATGAGCTTGCATCTCAAACCACAGGAGAACCTAACTGCTCTTCACTCTCACAAATTAAAGTTCAGACTGATTTTATTCAAAACGTCCGATAGTTTGATGTTCACAAATCATGAAACATTCAGCAGAGAAACGGCCTTCTGGTTCAGGCTGAAGTACGTCTTTACTGGTGCCACCGTCCGTCCAAACAGGGAAATGTTTTTAATTTGAAACCTATCAAAACACTTTCTCCTTTATCATGTAATAAAACTTTCTCTGTGTCTTCTTTTATTTTATCTAAATGTTGACTTGATATGTATTTAAAGTACTTGTGTACAGTCGGATTTTCTTTCTCCAAGCTTAACACTGCCTTCAATTTGATAAAATACAATAATGGACACTAGACTTAAGGGCCAAGTCTTAGTGATAGTTTGTGTAGGATTACATCAGTGTAGAAAGCTCTGTACACTTTTAACACAGATTTAGCCCCTTTTGGCAGAAATTGCAAGAGTTCAAACATGATTCAACGCTTCCTGGGGCAGTTGAGAGTGGTTTCAATGATGTTCAGGCTCATAAGGTTCAACCTACTATCAAATTAAACCTGAGACATGGCATTACGACAAAGCTTGGTGGAGGGATGCAGTATGGGTTTTGGTGCGGATCCGCATCAGGGAGCAGATCCAGGGATTTTGTGAAAGGAGTGTCTTTTAACATTTTTGTAAATTTCTAGGGAAATAAATTATATATATTCATAATTTAGGGGGCTGATATCTATGAGTATGTGTAAATTGGTGCAGCTTGACTGGATTTAAGGGGACGGGTGGGCCCTTGTCAGATGTGTGCTCTCTACTGAGCCTACATGCTGAGACTCTGAACCTGAAGCAGCGATGGCTGGATGGTGGAGCTACATGCAACTGCACACCAAGGCCACTAGATATCACTGCTATCACACCGCAGTGCCTCCACAGCCCTCACCTAGAGCCTGTCTGCTCTGATGCTGCAGGTAAACTGATGGAGTGATGGGGAGTAGCCGTGTTTTCTGCTTTCACATATCTTCCCGTCACCTGGGATGATGTTTCAAGTGCAGCAGATGTTTTGACCGTGATCTCGCGTGCAATGCAGAGAATACAGAATGTTCCCACTTCTCGTGTGTTTTGCATGAAATCCAAGCTCGTTCATTCACTGTCACAAATCTGTTTCACGCAATCCTCCGTCTGTCACTCAACACCACGCTTCCTCCTCCTCCTCCTTGCTTGGCATCAGCTTTGGTGTGAGCGTGCACGTGTGCGCGCCCACCCTGTTCCAGCTGCTCCCTGTGAAAACATCTCTGGCACAAAGCAGCCGCCTCGACGCGCATCTCGTCCCCCCTCTCTCCCTTCGTCTCCTCGGGGTTTATCTCTGTCTCGCAGGCTCCGGTGACGGCCTTTAATCGTTCGTCTCATCCTGCCGTTAGAATGAGTCGCGGTGAAATGCCGTCCCGCCGTCGCTAGCCAGGCGGACAAATTCCTTCAACCAGCCCGCTGCTCGCTCCACTCACTGCGGGGTTGGCACCACATTAGCAGAGGCGTCGCTGGGTGAGCTAGCCGGGACTAGCTAGCTAGCGTTCGTGGCCGTCACGTCTGTTTTAGCTAACGTTAGCTAACGTGGTTAGTTGCCGAGCGGAGGGTCGTGCAGTAACTATTATCACGTATGTTAGCTTACTAGCGAGGACTACCACTTTCCCCAGCGTGTACTAGCTAGCCAGCGTTGCACAGAAATCGACCGTTAACGGGGGTTTGGATGTCGCGACACTGCCGGTTTCGAACCACGGACTGCGAAGACAGAATTGGTGCACAGCGACAGGCGGTACCGAGGTAGAACCGGACCACAGAGCGATAAGAGGGGGTTCATGGTGTGAAGCGGGTATCAAGTGGCTAATCTGTTGCAGGCATTTTTTTTTTAACATTAGCCCCGCGCTACGGCAGAGCATCTCAGGGAGGCCCCGCCGTCTCCCGACTCCCCTCCCCATCCCGAGTCTCCAGCGATCTGACGAGATCACCCGGGTGAAGTCGCAGTTGTTCCCGGCCGGGGGGGCAACTTGACAGCGAGGCCCCTTTAGCTTAGTCTCCCCTCCCCCTCCGCCCCAGTCCCGTCCATCCATCCTCCCTTCCTTCAATCCGTCCAGCCCCGACAGACCGCCTCCTCCTCGCCCGAGACAGACAGCGAGGGACCGGGGGATAAAAAAGCAACAAAAAAATAAATAAGCAGCGAACCGCGGGCAAGTGTTAGTCGGGTCCCGTCTGAACCGGGCTGCCACAATCAGAGGGGATGACTCTGGAGTCCATGATGGCTTGCTGCCTGAGCGAAGAGGCGAAGGAGTCGAAACGAATCAATGCAGAAATTGACAAACAACTCCGCCGAGACAAGCGAGACTCCCGGAGAGAGCTGAAATTACTGCTTCTCGGTATGTGCCACGCTCATTCTCTCATGTTCTCCCATTTTGATTGTGCTGTCTTGTGTCGCTATGTGCAAAACGAACCTCCTCGGGCCTTCCTGCCGATGCTAACCGATAAAGCTAGTTAAGGTGGCTAGCTGGGAGCCTGGTTTCTGTAAGTGACATGATTTCGTCTTGTAGCTCGAGTTTAAAATAAGTTTAGCTTCCTGGTCCAATGTGCATATCTGGGGGGACATGCTAACCACCCTTACGGTCGCTTTATTCGTGTGTGTGGTGTGCAGACAACGATCGGCTCATTTGGCATTGCTGGTAACTAACATGTCACCGTTTACAGGCTAGTTTAACATATAAACCAGCCCTGCAAGCTATCCACTGGGGTTTGTTAGCTGCTGCTGGTGAAGATGGTCCCTTGGCTGCAGCAGCACCTTTGGTTTGCTTTACACTGTTGCTCACAGGGTTGCATAACATTTGTACAACCTGAGGTGCCTCAGTGCAGATCTTGCCTGGAGCTCGTTCATTCCCATTTATCCATAATGTCAGTGTGCACCCAGTGTCACAAACCTACTCTCCTAGTGGACAAGGATACTGAGAGATTTGCCCCCTCATCCTGGAGTCTAGCTGAGTAGGTTATCTATTTTTATAGCTGGTGTGTGGGCAGGTGGGAGCTGCTGTTGAACAAGTTGCTCTGCGCTGCATTGATTCATACTTCTGTGGACACAAAGAGGAACATTGGGTTATGCGTTTTCCACTTGTGCTGCTTTCAGGAAAATCTATCCTGTGTGTGTGTATGCAAATTGTAACAGATTAACTTTCAACCACACGTGCATCCACCAGCCTCTTCGAAGAACCAATTACAAGTGCGAAAGCTCCTTGGAAGTAAAGCAGGTGCCCATTTTAGGGACAATTAAGAATATCTAGGTTGCATCCTTCGTTTCGCAACGTTTGCTCTCATTTCTCGCCCATCAAAAGCAGCCTTGGTTATTTGACATGTGTGTCTCCTCTCATTTCCCTTCTGAATACCTCAGCTTGGAGAAGTAGGCCACACTAGAGTCACACCGTCGATGGGACATACTCTAATCTGTGTCATACATTTTAATCGCCATTGCGCTTAATTCTACCTGGCAGCCTAGGTGAACAGATGGAAAGGGTGTAAATGTCCGTGCGGCTGTTTAAAAAATGGTTTGCTTGTGTTTTTGATTGATAACACGCAGTCGCATTGTTCTCTTAGGAATTGTAATGTGTTTTTCTTATAGTGTTTCCAGTCCATCCCTGATTTCAGCAGACATTGCAAAACAATTATTGTAAGCGTCTGTGTGACAGGCAGGCGGCAAGCAAGAACTGCAACCAGTCATGCTGTAAGTGGCCCATCCAGTGTGAGTTAAGGCTGTCAGTGGACGCCTGGATAAGGACGTGTAAGGCAGGATTAGTCCAGGTCTTAATAGGCTTGGTTAAACACATCCGCTGCTCAGACTTTGAGATGTCACTGACTCCTATTATCCTCTGCCACTGTTCTCAGGCCCTCAGTGAGCCTCTCCTCACCTCACTGGAGGATGAAGACAATCGCAGCTTCTGAACATTTAACCAATCATGTTCCATCAAGTGTGTTTCACAGAACAAGGGAAAATGATACTGTGCATAATGACCACTGACCATTCAGATGCATCTGTAGAATATTGTGGCAGTTATTCTGTCATCATCTGCATGCAGTTAGGTGCATGTGCAGGAGATGGATTGAACATTTCAGCTGGGCTTGCAGCAACATTACCACAGCTCCTTGCACAGTTTTAGTTGAAAATGATGTGTTTCTGCGGTTAAGACTTCATTTCAGTGTGGAGACATGCTTAAATATGATGTTGGTTGTCTGGATTCAAAGTGATTGATGTAGGGTAGACAAAACTCCAGTGTGAGTAGTTGCAACTGTTCTTTGTTCTGTTAATATTTTAGTTGTTTTATTCAAAACGAGACATTTCAAGATACAGGATTAAAGGGCAAGGTGACATCTTAAAACTGCTTCTGTTGTCCGCCCAGAAGTTCCAAACCCTAACATTGTAGAAGCTGGAACCAGAGAATCTTTGGCATTTTTGCATGAAAAATGTCAGAAGTTGGCAGTTAGATTCATTTGTGAATCTTTTCAGCTCTGGAATGATGTGATGACTACTATAATTCCTGCTTGTTGCGTTCCCCTAACAGCAAAGTTTTTCACTCACTTGTTCGGCTTAACCCTCCCTGTCCATCTATCTTCTTGGCAGAGTTTATTATATGGTCAGGGTACATTGCCATTATTGCCATGTCTCATCCAAACAGGTTAGAGGTTATGCCAGGCACAGGCATGAGGTTTTCAGACTAAGAAATCCATGAGGGTGGATGTGAAGGTTAGTTCTGTATGTAAAATCTATCACACCTACTACCTCAGCCACTTGGTCAGAAAATAACAGCTCTGCCAGGACTGCAGCAGTGCCCGCAGTCTGGCTGCCTGTCACTGAGGGCCATATCAGGCCATACCAGCAACTTCCTGCTCCACAGACCAGTGGTTTGCCTCTACTTGGTCAAAACACAGTGGGCCAGGAGCTGTGGCCTTCGCTGCATAGGGTAAATGAACTGCTGGAAAGAACAGTGGTCAGTAAGTGAGATGGAAGGGCAAACACTTCAGGGTTTTCTCAAAGTGCTGATCAAGGTTAACTGCAGGCTCGCAGTCGGGCTTTCAGTGTACAAGTTGGCATTTGTTTTTTTACGAAAATGTGGGTTTCACTTGAAATCCCAGTAACAGAATGTGTGGTGATCACCAAAACATCCTTAGAATGGCTTCAGCGAGGCAATTTTCTGGTCATCAAGCAATGTATTTAAGAAATGGGTCCGACTGGGGTAAAAGTTGACTCGACAGCCAAGAAGCTGTGGGTTGCTTGGTAGCACATCATCCCAGACATGGTTTTATAGTACAGTCTTTTCACAGCTTCTCATAGGTTGACTTTTTCCTGTTGATCCCCTACATCTCAGGAGAAACTCTTGTTTCCAGGTTAAGACATCCTTCAGAGGTACTGTCTGATTGAACCAAGAAGAGGATCAGGGGTTAGGCTCAGATGTTTATTGCTGACCTTACTTCGCTTGCCAAGCCGTCTAATTTTGATCATATATGGCAATAGAGATATTCTAGCTCTACTCCTCAGTGGTTTTGTGTGTGTGTGTGTAACTTTTAATGCCAGTGAATGTGGAACTATGTGGATGGTCAGTTATTACTGAAACAATCTTTATCTTGGTCGAATCTAATACCTCTGAATATGGAAATTATTATGAGACAGACTTTCACAAAAATCTTTAGAAAAAAAGAGAGTTTTATTATATTAGTGTGAACTAAGAGCTTCTTACAAGGATTTCTTTGATGATGGTTATTAGGGAATTGTGACTAAAGCTGCTTTCAGGCATTCACTGGACTCCGCAGAGCATCTATATTTTTTCTGGAGGAGGTGCATGTGTGAATGCAAATGATAGTGAGAAGCTTTGCAGTTTCTACAGAATTTATCTGTTTGACCTCCTGGTATAAAGTGTGCACCAATCCAGGAGTGTGAACAGAGCAGGGGATCCCCACTGGATTCACAGTGCACAAGATGGGGGTTGATGACGCTTCTAACCAGCAAAAATGGAAAAAAAAAAAAACACCTCATGAAGAAAAAGCGGCGTCATTCACGTAGAAGACACTGATAATATTTCAAGAGAGTTTGTGGTGATAAGAGCTGACGGTGTCTGTGTGTTAAGAAAATCACGGGATTTTCCTGAATTTCCCTCAGTATCTGTAATTTCCGCAGTAGAGTTAATACATCACTTCCTGCCTCAGACTGCTGCTCCACCTCTCGGAGGATTTGATGCAGTTGTGAACGCGTCTGTGCAGAGAACCTCCTGCTGTGGTGTGCATGTGTGAAAGAAAAACTCTGTAGCCAATTCTCCGGATTTAACCCAGAGGCCATTTCTGAAAGCATCTTAAGATATGTACTGGATTAGACATTTTCGCATGCGAAAAAGTGAACTTCTCTCTGGTGAACAAACTAATAATGCACGGTTTCTAAATTTCCATATTTGGTATTTATCTTCTTTCATGCACCAGTGCAGATATGTCTATAAGAAGCTAACATCAACCAAATACATTTTTTCAACATCTAATACACTTTATTTGTCATTTATTCTCAGTGTAACTTTCTAAGAAAGTTTTTAGACAAGAAAATAAGGGGAGATTACCTTTGACTTGAGAGAAACTAAACATTTATTGTTCTGTTGTCCTGAAAAAGACATGAAAACTTTAATTATTGGGAAATACATTTGTACATTCTTTTTTGCTTTCACTCAGGTGTGGAAATTTGTCTTGGAAATGATGATTGTCTGTGTGTCATGCAGTATCTACGAGGACTTGTAGACTGCAGCAACTTTGTGTGAGACCTCAGCCTGTTTAGAAATATTTGTCATACACCCGCAATGTGGAGTAACAATTTTACAAGGGACTGTATGTATGACAATGCATTAGAGCTTGATGGTGAGTGAGTTTCCCAGATTTTGTTAAATTTGTATTGCTCGGTACAATGAGCTGTTGCCAGTCAAGATTATTGATAAGGTCAAATTTCACAAGAACATCTAAAGTCCCCTAAAGTCAAAGGCTCAATCCTCACTCAGTGATGTAAGCATACAGCGTATGTTCTCCATTACAGAACACATCCAGTGTCTCCATCCAGGCTCCTTCTACGTCTCTGCTTGTTTGCAGTAAATGCTTAAATAGTCCCTCTGGCTTAGTCAATCTTGCACACACTTTTTGTCTCTCTCTGTTGCATGGTGTCTTTTACACTCATATTGCTCACTAGTGTACAGTTGAATGCACACACACACATTTTTAAATGGGGTCAAGGCTGGTTCTCTGGAGATATGGGGGTGAATGAGGCTAGATGGTGACTGTCCCACATACTGCTGCTAACCCCGGGTCCCTTGACAGGACGGGGACGTAGGCCGCCTCGCTGCCAGGTTCCTCAGCC